AGCAACATGGCTACTCACTGCTTTAACTCACTAGAGAGTGAGCACAACCAACATACAATCAATAGAGCTTTTTTCCACCTTCTTGAGCCACGCATTGGGCACCAATAGATGTATTTGTCCTGGTTCAGAGCAAATTTGGAAGAGAATCCCAAAGGGGCTCCAGTAGGAAAGCAGATTAAATCAGCCCCTTCCCCCAGCCGGTCCTGGAGAAAATACCTCCTTGGAGAAAGGTGGAAAAAACCTGTTTATTAAACAATAAAACCTAAACAATATTAAACAATAAAACCCCTTGCCGCTCCAAAAGAGATGACAAACTGAGAAAGTCCCCTCCCTGGGTTGCAGCTCAGCTCACTAAGTCTCTGATCAGTCCCTCTGGTGCTGGAAATGTCGCAGGCCAGGCCTGGCCCAGTGGCCACAGGTGTAGCTGCCGGTGCTCTTCTGGTGTTCAGTCCAGAGCAGGTTTGAACAGCTCCAAAGAAAAGGGGAAAAAACCCACAGTCCAGGGAACTTCTTTGTCTCCTTTGCCTCATCTAGCTAAATGAACTAAAAGCAAAAGAGAGCTCTGTCCCGCTGTCTGTCCATCCACAGACAACACAGTCCAGAGCAGGAATGTGGAGAAGTGAGTGCAGTGTCTGAAAAAGCATGCCGCTTCTTCTCACCCCCTTCACTCTCTGGAACAAGTCTTAAAGGTGTAAAACTTATTATTCAGCATAAACAGAATGAGACAACTGGGGATAAAAGCATCATTTAGTCAACCCACGACACCCACCCATTACTTACTTTTTTCTTACTTTCCCAAGCTTGCTGACAAACTTGCTGAGTCCTGATGACTCTTCTTCTTGTATCTCTTTCAAGGATATACCAACCCAATTTCTGAATATGTCCATTATTCATTGTTTGTGCATGTGTCCATTGTCCATTAGTACAAGCAGGCTGGATTGTGCTTTGGCTGAATATGGGCATTGTCTAACAAAAACTCCTCAATCTGCAAAAACTCTCAATATGTAACCATACTGAGATGACTGGAACCACACAGGAACAACCAGGACCATGCTGAGGAGAACTGGGACCACACTGCAGGTAACTGGCAGTGAGTGAGACCATGCTGGGAGGGACTGGGATCATATGGGGAGTGACTGGGACTATACCAGGGACAACTGAGTTCAATTGGGACCATACTGGGAGTGTCTGTAACCATTGTAACCATAGGGGAGTGATGGAAGCACACTGGGAACAGCTGGGCCCATGCTGGGACCAACTGGGATCACTCTGAAAGGGACTGGAATGATGGAGGGATTGACTGGGAGCAACTGGAATGATGCTGAAAGCAACTGGGAAGAAGTGGGAGTGACTGGGAACAAGCTGGAAGCAACTGGGATAAACTTGGAGAGACAGGGAAACACTGGGATCACACTGGAGGCTACTGGGGTCATGCTGGCATTGACAGCAAGCAACTGGGATAACACTGGGGGCACTGAAATCGTACTGGGAGTGTCTGAGAGCAACTGGAATTAGACTGCAAGTGACTGGGATCATACTGGGAGTGGCTGCAATCATACTGGGATCAGAGTGGGTGTGTTTGGACCCTGACTGGGGGTTACTGGGAGCTACCAGGCCCATGCTGGGAGCCAACAGGGGACATAATTAGAGGAACTGGGAGCAACTGGGATAAAACAGGGGGCAAGTGAACCACCCTAAGGTAATTGGGAGTGCCTGGCAATGACTATGAGAATGTTCAGGGCAACTGGGATCATACTGGGAGTGCCTAGGACTATGCTAGGGACAACTGGGAGAACTGGGAACACACTGGATGAAATTGGGAAGAACTGGGACTGTGCTGGGAACAAATTGCATCATCATCGGGAATTGACTGGGAGGGACTGGGCTCATACTGGGAGCAGCCACTGCTGGCCCTGGGACCCTCCAAAAACACCTCCTGGGGACCCCGGATGTCCCCCCGAGGGTCATCTGCAGCTCGGCTTTGGAGCCCTGCCAGCTCCAAACTTCCCCTGAAAAAAATCCCAAACCCAGGCACCCCCCAGCAGGTTTGGGCCGAGCTCCCCCTTCCCCAGGCACCTGTGGGATGGAGGGTGATGCTCCCGGGGCTGCAGCGACTCCAGGGTTCCCTCTCCCCTTCTCCAGCTGCTTCTGCTGCCGGTCAGCCTCTTCCTCCTCCTCCTCCCCTGTTCCTGAAGGTCAAACCATGAGGGCAAAGGGGACAGGGAAAGGGTGGGAACCATGAGGGGAAAAGGGGCAGGGAAAGGGCAGAACCGTGAGGGGAAAGGGGACAGGGAAAGGGTGGAACCGTGAGGGGAAAGGGGGCAGGGAAAGGGCGGGAACCGTGAGGGAAAAGGGGCAGGCTCAGGCCAAGGGCGGCAACTGTGAGGGGGCGCTCTGGGAGGCGGCACTCTGCAAACAGAACTGCAACGGACTGAACATGAACGGGAGAGAAAGCAGTAAGTCTGAGAGTTTTATTTGCTATCAAATACATCCCACACACCCAGCCCCACACAATCCCCATCCAATCACTCCTACGCTCCCATCCCATCCTATCGCTCCCAAATTGGGATCCCATTTCTCCCATCTCCTTCCAACCCCATCTCACCCTGGTACCTGTGGAATGGAGTGAGTTTGGCATAGGATTGAGATTTTGAAGTGGGAACAGGCAATTTGAAGTAGGATTGAGCCCTGTCGTGTTAAGATTGAGCTGTTTTCAGTATGATTTGAGTGGTTTTGAGGTGAAAGATTGATCCCTCTTCACTACTGGACTGCAAAGAGATGGATGGTTTGGTCTAAGGCCAAACCAAAAGAATAAGAAGCCAGGTGTGTTCCCAACATGGATCACAGGGAAAGTGGGTCACCAGGGCTGTGCCCCAAGTGCCTCCTCCAGTGGGGGATGGAGCTGGAGCAGAGCACGAAGCTCTTCCTGCACTCAGGGCACTAGCAGGGCTTCCCTTATCGGTGGCTGTATTGGTGTCGGGTCAAATGAGAGCTCTGTGAGAAGCTCTTC